CAAATGATTGTTAACATAGTCTCATTGTCAGGATTGGTTTCCAGCATTAGAAATGCATCAGAACATGAATCACATGACACTGTATAGAATTTACAAACCAGATAAAGCTGCACAAAGCAGAGGTTAATTAATGTAGCTTCTTCAAATTTAAAAATGTTCTAGCATTTTTTTCTTTTCTAAGCAACCTGAATCTTTATAGCCCTTTTTTTTTTCTCTCCTTACTGTTGGAGCACATTTTTAGGTTTCCTAGTGGCTTTACCCAGCAGGTCTGCATAAAGAAGATGCTTGGACCACGGTCCTGAGTACAGGTGTCTGAGATGGTCTGCACTTGACTGTGCTGGGGAGAGGTCATTTGCTACACCCCTTTGGCATTCCTTTAAATACCCTAGGGCAGAGACAGTCAGGCTGATGAATTAGGATCCAGGCCCTCTGGAGGCTGTCCTGTATTTTCTGTCTGTTTCTCTCCCCTCTATCCTTCTGTCTAATATTTCCTACTGCTTCTACTCAAGAGTACTCTGGGGAAATGTGGGGGTGAGGGATGTCCCCCCACACCTTACTAATAACAGTGGAAGATGACTGCTTTAAAAATTTTGCTATCTTTATGTGACATAAATGCACTTATTGAGCAACAAAATGCTTGTACATTTAATAAGTTGCAATAGCCCTATAAACTTTTTAATGGTCAAAGGAAAATTATGTAGAGTTTATTGGCTTTATAAATAAGTCTCACTAAATAATATCATCTTACAACTTTCCTGGCCTGTCTATAAACATCCTAACTCCCCCTTTTGGGGATAATAAATACTAAACACAGAGTAACAAGATTAGAATGCAATTGTTATCTGAACAACAAGCTTACTACTAACACACACACACACACACACACACACACACACACACACACACACACACACATACACACACTGCACAGTCTATAGATAAGAAACACAAATCTCACGTTGAATTAATATACATGTTTATTTTTAGGTTTTCATTTGTTTATCTATTAGAAATTTCAACAAATACACATAGTTTTCAAAAATGCAGCCTCTTAGCTATAATAGAGACTGTTTCCTTGTGAGTTTCCTCCCTTGTCATGCACAGGGCTTCCTGACAGGTCAAGGGTGCTGCTTGGAGAGAACCTCATGGTAGAGCAGGAGATGCTGTGCTTCTAGCCTCCCTGAGGTCAGTTGCCCTTTGGCATCCTGGGATATTGGCTTCAAGATCTGAGATTACAGGTTGCCTACATACCCTACAGCTTCTTGTGCATGCTCTTAACGCAGTTCCCTCTCTCTGAGCCTTTCGCTTGCTGCCCCCAAAGCTGTACTTGTGAATTTCTGAGCCCTTTCACAGCAGCTATAGTTTTGGTCTGCGGAGGCACATATGCCTATATTGTTCCTGTCATCTTTCTGAGCCAGAGGAGGTGGGTGGTATTGTCAGCGTGCACTCAGTCTTCAGATTCTACAACGCAGCCACATGAAACCAAAAGAAATTTGCACATTAGAAACTCAATAAAATTGAAATGAAGTAAGGTTACTTTTGCTCACAATTTTTTAAACCAGAGTTAAATTTTTTGTAGTAGATAGCATGGAAATATAATTTTCAATGTAAAAGAGGATCATTAAGCTGGTGGTGCACTTTACAGTAAGGTGGTCCCACCAAGTCGATCGGCCAGGGGTTGGTCTCCTGTTTGAGCCTTTAGGTTTAAAGCACAGAGAAAGCACATAGTCTTCTGGTGAGTTCTAGCTGCTATGAAGAACGTGCTTACATTTATGTGTTATGAATTAATGTGTCTTAAGCTCGTTTGTTGAAGCCCTAATAATCCCCTATGTTAATTCAGAATAATTGAGGCCATACAGGTGAGGTCTTAATCAGGTATGACTAGCTTTCTTACAAGAAAGAAAAGTCACTTGGGGAAAATATGAAATTAGCTTGTGCAAGTCAGAAAGAGAGCCTGGTGGCTCTTAGATCAGGGCTGTTGGTTTCAGGAAAAAGGTGTCTTTTAAAGCCTCCCCATCTTAGACACTTGGTTATGGCAGCCTGGGCTGATGGACATGCATGCCATTCCTCTCAATGGGCCTAGTTTTCCCCTGCTTTCCAACCTGACAGTCTTCTCTTCAGTCTGATATAAGAGGAGCCTGGAGGCTACACACAGGGGCAAGAGGAACTGATTATTTGGATACAGTGGTTACAGTCTTTCAAGAGATCTCTCTTTTATTCCTATCTTTATACCTACTCCCCTATTGGATTGGCTGAATAATATCCAAGCCTTTGAAAGATAATGACCAGGGTAATAATGAAAGGGTTGTCACTTGTTTGTTTTTCCTCTAGAAGATAAAAATTTGGTTTATAGTGTATTTATAGATTTTTGTTTATTTATAATAAAGGAATTAGCAATCATCTTTCTGCTAACAGATTCTCCAAATAGCATGGACATCAATTGTCTTGGCTTTCTATTCTGTTCATTGAGAGTTTACATAATTTTTTCCAATTTGTTAAATAATTTCTTGTGTGATAATTCAGATAAAATGGATTTACATGCATATGCCTGGCACTTGGTCAACTAAAAACTTAGTTCCTATTGTAATATGAGTCACAATGACAAATTCTGGGCTTCCTTGTTTTTTTTTAGTGATCATATATATATTAATTTATGTTTGGCAGTCAGGGATGTTTTTGTCTTCATTTCTTTCTCACTACAGCCTTGGAACTTTTAGCAAAGGATCACAAATTATTTTTTTTGAGTAAATATTCTATTTCTTAAATTTTAATGGTTTGCCATAGCCTTTTGGCACTTGAGTCTGTCTTCTCCACTCTAATTCCACCTGTCATCCATGTAGACTGAATCACCTAGTTAGTTGCCCAGAATCAAATGAGACAAAAATAAAGACAGTTTTATACTTTCTAATAAGGGGGCCAGATTTTTAAAACCATTTGAAAACTGGGAATTTCCTAAAGTAAATCAAATATTTTCAGATAGCATATAAAAAGTGAAAAAGTATAACGTACCCTAAATTTCACATAAAATTTCAGTCAGTATTCAACCCAATGAAATAAAAAGTCAATTTACTATCCAAAAGATCATGAATTCTACCAATAGGATACAAAATTTAGTTTTGGAAACTCATTATGCAACAAAATAGAACCAGTCATATTACAGTTAAAGTTTTAGGGATGAATGGATGATTCCATGATTAAGGGCACATATTATTCTTACAAAATACCTAAGATGCCCTCCCAGTACCCATGTTGGATCTCTCAGAACTGCTTGGAATTCTAGCTTTAGGGGATTCGAAGGCCTCTTCTAGCTTCTGTAGGTACATCTACTCATGTACACTCACACACATACACACACACACACACACACACACACACACACACACACAAAGGGGTTGGGTAGAGGGGGAGACAGAGAAAGACAAAGACAGACAGAGACACACACAGAAAGACACAGAGACAGACAGACAGAGAGACTTAGTTACTGTTCTGCTGCTGTGATGAAATACCATGATGAAGGCAACTTATAAAGGAAAGCACTGGATTGGGGACTTGCTTATAGTTTCAGAAGGTGAGATCATGGCCATCATGGCATGTAGGGAGTCGCCATTCAAAGATGGCACTGGCTTCCTGGTAGCCTAGCTGTAAACAACTCCATATTTGGCTATGCTCTCGGGACTACGTGTCCTGTGACCTGCACATGCACGGGTATGGTAATTGACCTTATGTCCTCAGCCTATCCCGTGGCTCCCTGTGCTTGCATTCTGGTGGGACCCAATCACAGTACAGCACGTTTGCCTGATTCCCCATATAAGCAGCTGCAATTTAGTTCTCGGGGCCCCTCACCTCCCGCTCTCCCTTAACTAAGAGGCGCTCCAATAAAGTGTGATCTGAGAAGAATCCTCGAGTGGTGGTCCTTCTTCCTCGCTGGTCGAGGAGCTCGCCACAATGGCAGGGATCAGGGTGGCAAGCAGGCATAGTGCTGGAGCAGTAGCTGAAAGCTCACATCCTGATCAGCAAGTGAGAGCCACAGAGAGATGGGGCTTGGCATGTGCCTTTGAAACCTCAAAGCCCATCTCACAGTGACACACCTTCTCCAATAAGACCAAACCTACTCCAACAAGACCACGTCTCCTAAACCTTCCTAAACAGCCCACCAGCTAGGAACCAAACATTCAAATATGTGAGCTTATGGGGATCATTCTTATTCTAACACACATACACACACACACACACACACACACACACACACACACACACACACACAAAACAATAAAACTTTGTTCATTTGATTGTTAGTCAAGTTTAGGATGGGATCACACTATGCAGCTTGTTGGCCATAAACTTAGGACCCCCACACCTCCTCTTTGGTTTCTTCATCTGGCTCAGTCTTAATTTAAATAGATCACCAAGGATTAAACTGAAACAATGCTTTCAGAGCTTTACACTAAACATATTAATGATAATTAATGTTTATTATGTAACATTATAATATTCATGTATTTTTTTAATTATTTGTTATAAATTAATAAAATGTGCTTTTCTTTTTAGAAGGTGATAAAAAGGGGTTTCAAAGTATCTAAGGGGCTGAACATGCCTATAATCCCAGCACACAAAAGACCAAGCAAAAGTTGTAAGATAGCCTGGGTTACAGAGGAAGACTGTGTTAAAAATCAAGCAGAGACCCAGGAGGTCTGGGTTCAACTTAGTGGAGAACACGTGATTATTTTGAGGCGGGAACTGGGGCCCATCCCCAGTACCACAAAATAAAGAATTAAATAAACAAATAGATAATTGAAAGGACTAGAAATAACAGATATTTATTTTTATATTTTGTATATTGATACTATATTCTTCATAAAAACCTTGGATATAATATTAAAGGTACATATTCTTTTTACTTTTATGGATTAACATAGAAAATCATAATGTTAGTCAATAAGAGCTATCACTTACTTTTAGAGCTAAACTATATCTTCACAATTCTTTTGTTTTATACTTACCCACAATGTCCTTCATAAGGCCTACAATACTCTCATCCCCTGTAATCCAAGGGCGTTTCCCTACATCATGACCATAGGCTCCCCTGAAATTGAAAAAGGGACATAAAAATTTCTTAGTAGTGTGTAGTGGGTAGCTGTTCCAGCTTTGACCTGGAAGTACTACCCCCATTGAGGCTTTGGTAAGTGTTATGCCTACAAGGCAGGGCTGAGACAGGAGCCCTTAAGACCCGAGATCTGAATGTGCCAGCTCTCTTGGCTCCTGGATCCTGGATGCTGGAGGTAGATGGAGCAGAGTTTTCCAGAGAGCACCGCTGGACTGTGCTACACCTTTTCCAGACCCTGTATCCTATCCCTTCACTTGTAAGTCACCCACAAAATAAACCTCCCTTTTAACTATGTGGAGTTGACTTAATACTACAACCAATAGTAGTGTGGTGGTGGTGGTGGCGGCAGCAGTGGCGGCGGCGGCGGCAGTGGTGGTGTGTGTGACTTTGTTTTTAAATATTAGCTAGTAAGATATTTCCATGTGTACTATTTAGTCTAGAGGTAACATGTCTTCCACAGGCTCACGTACTGGAACAGGTGTTTCTAAGTTGGTGGCCCTGTTTTGGGAGGTAATAGGAGCTTTAAGAGGTAGAGCCTAGTTGGAAGAATTGGGTAACTCAGGGGCAAACCTGAGGTTTGTAGGCCAATCCTGCTTTGTTTCCTAATTTTGGCGATATATTGTGTACCCTAATAAAATTTGCCTGAAGATCAAAGAACAGAACAAGCCACTAGATTAAATATTATGCCAGGTGATGGTGGAACACACCTTTAATCCCAGCACTTGAGACCTCATGCCTCTCCTACTAGTACTTGGGAAGTCATATACCTTTAATCGCAACACTAAAAAGGAAGTAATAGGGCTGGGCAGAGACAGGAACTGAAGCCTTTTCCAGCTGAGGAGTCCCAGAGGTAAGATGTGGCAGTGGCGTGTTCCTTTGTCTGTCTGATCTTCAGGAAAATTTTATTAGGGTACATGATATATCACCACATTAAGTTTTATGAGGGTACACAATAGATCACCACACCTAATCTGCCCAAATGTAAGCCAACAGTCACTGCAACCAGTGTCACACATTCCCTACCATGGTGGACTGCATCCTCAAACCATGACTCATAATAACACTGTCACACATTCCCTACCATGGTGGACTACATCCTCAAACCATGACTCACAATAACACTGTCACACATTCCCTACCATGGTGGACTGCATCCTCAAACCATGACTCATAATAACACTGTCACATATTCCCTACCATGGTGGACTGCATCCTCAAACCATGACTCACAATAACACTGTCACACATTCCCTACCATGGTGGACTGCATCCTCAAATCATGACTCACAATAACACTGTCACACATTCCCTACCATGGTGGACTGCATCCTCTAACCATGACTCATAATAAATCATTCCCTCCTAAGTTTGAGTCTTCTTAAGCAGTTGACATAGTAACAAGACAAGTAACCAGTACACATATCTTTATAATGCTTAAGCAAAAATATTGAAATATAGCTTTTATAAAATCAAGAAGTGGTACCTGGGTATCTTATGTTTAAGATTCATCATTCTTTCATTGCTTATTATTTTTTTTAACTGTCATGTGGTTGGAAGATTATCCATGTGCTACTTCATTTTGTAAAACATTTTCCAGCCTAAGCTACTATGTTCTCTTTATTTTGAAATTTTCAAGACTATTAGAGCACTCTACTTACATACTTGTAGCCTACAGTAGTATCTATACAAAAATACACATACTAACTTATTTTGGGAGGCCAAAATCTATTAATGAGATAAAAACATATAAAATGACTATCCTTGTGATAGTATTTTATAGAAATAACAAAATTTAGCAACAATCAAAGTCAACACTACATTTTCACCTATCTTTCACTACATATCGCCTCTCTAGCAATTGAGCTATCATGTTCCAGCTCAATTTTATTATTGAAGTACATTTCCTCGAAGGTTTTTTTTTTTTTTTTTTTTTTTTTTTTTTTTTTTTTTTTTTTTGCGGGGGAAGGGAAATCAGAAAATACAAAAGAGTATTTCAGTGTTAAGAAAATGAGAAAGAATAATGCACATGAAAATGTGGAGGAAATTGAATCCAAGTCTGTGCGGGGACATCTAGAACGCTGTTGAATGCTCACGTCTTCCATAACACGGAAATGGATTGGTCTTAGGTGATGCGTTATAGACTAGGAAATAAGGCTGGTGCACATGCTTTTTATTCTAAGGGAAGTCAAGGTTTATGTCCACCTATTGAAATTCTTCCATCTGCCTGTGGTGAGCTGGGATGCCTTCACATTTGATGCTATGCTACCAAAAAAAAATTACATTCTGAATGTTTGATAGTTAGCTTTTTATCATATAGTATGAGTCAACTTCAGGTCTCTGCTGGAGGAAAATCACATTTATTAGAAGGTTCCAGGGGCTAATTTTCCACATCTGAAAAAGTAAATAAAAGAGTGACAATATGTTGTTTAAAGGGTTGGCAGAAAAAGTAAATGAGATAGCATATAAAAGAGATGGATGCACAATATTCCCTTGCTGACTCATCTCTTCTAATGTAAATCTAATGCTAAACTGCCTTCATCAACATGTGGTACATAACAGGAATCTTTAAGCTAATATTTCCATTACCATATAAACTAAGATGAAGGAGGAGGACTTTCTGTGTGAATAAACATAGGCTGCTAAGAACTAGGAGGAAGGAAAGGGCAATTCAATTGCTAGTTATTATTATTCATATTATTATTAGATAGCCTGCAGCTTGCTTCTCTGGACTCCCAATATAAATGTTAAAGACAAAAATCATTATCATTAAATGGTAGTTAAAGGCAGATACTTGGATCCCTTTTTTATTTTAATCACATAGAGCTCCCTGGCCTTTGCTGATAGCACAATATATCTTATTACATCTAGGTAGTAAAATTCTATGTTCTGCCTCAGAGAATTTATATCTCAGAATATTATGCCACCTACTTCTCACTCTGGTAGACACCATGGTAATAATCTTTAGGGATATGTTTCTCCCTGCAAGGCTTTTGGCATCTTCGTCTCTTTAAAATATTACACACTAAGGCTACTTCCTCATTTTGTCAGCCCACTAGCCTGGGGTAGTGAAATGTATTTAGAACGTTTTATCCAAATAAACCCAAAGTAAAGTGGCCTGTCATTAGGAAGAATTGATGTAGATTAAAGTGTGGTTATAAACATATGTGTTAGAGTTAGGAAAGTTGCTAGATTGTTTTCATTCAAAGTTGCTTAAAATAAGCTGAACACAGCTGCAATCCTTTACAAATGTTGGGAAAGAAATATAAAGAGTTAACCCATTACCACAACATTAATCATTGCCAGGAATGGAGTGTTTTGTGAGGTGGCCATGAGCAATATTTGCCTATGAAATCAGATTTCAGGATATAACATCTAATTAAGAAGTTAATAGAAACTTGGATTCTCTTTAAAATGGGGCCATATTTTACCCATCCTACAAAATAAGAAGTGGTCCTATTTTAGAAAGCTTGCCCTGTAAGTGAACAAATAAATTTTCAGAGCCTTTCTTAATGAAGCACAACTTTATCCATGACCCAATTGATAACTGGCTAACAATCTGTATTTGACTAGTGGAGATCTGTATTTTCTTATTCATGAGTCCCCCTCTTATTTAAAGGGAGAAATTCATAACTGAATAAAAACTATTGTAGGTGTCTTCAGGTGAAAGCTTCTCTGGGCTACTTAATCACTGCACTGTCCACAAACACACTGCCATGAAGTATAAATCCATGGGACATTTCTTTTTTAACTAATTCTACCTAAGCTGTCAATCTTTTACAAAAGTCCCTATGAAGGCATTACCATAGAAATAATTACTCCTGTAAAAAACAGAAGACAGCATCTATCTAGTAAATTTGAGAATACAGATGACTTAAATACCATGGTTCTAGGTTTCTGTCTTTGGAATGTAATGTATGTTTCTCAATCTACAATATACTCTTAGGATTGATGTTTTGCCTTCTAACTGAAGTTTATCATCATGGCTATTAATTAACTCACGTTACTTTCTTTTAAATAATGCAGACTGTCTTAGGGCTTCTTCTATTGCTGTGAAGACACACCGTGACCATGACAACTCTTACAAGAATAACATCCAATTGAGGGGTGCTGTGGGATGGTCTTTCTGTATGCTGTGAATATATGTTGCTCCCATTGGCCTATGGTAAGGCAGGATAAGAGGCAGGTGGGAAATCCAAACAGAGAGATAAGGAGAAGTAGGGTAGAGTCAGGGCAGACACCATCTAGCTGCCAAGGGAACGAGATGCCAGCAGACTGGTAATGCCACAGCCACATGGCAAAATATAGATGAATAGAAATGGGTTAATTTAAGATGTAATAGCTAGCTACCAATAAGCCTGAGCTATAGACCAAACAGTTTGCGACTAATATTAAGCCTCTGAGTATTTATTTGGGACCAAGTGGCTGCAGGACATAGGAAAAACTTCTGGTTACAGACGGAAGTCACTTACAGTTTCAGAGGTTCAGTCCATTATTATCATGGCAGGGAGCATGGTTACATGCAGGCAGATGTGCTGTGGGAAGAGTGGGGAAGTCCTACATCTTGTAGGCAACAGGAAGTTGACTCAGTGTCACACTGAGGGAAGCTTGAGCAAAAGAGACCTCAAAGCCTGCCCCCACAGTGACACACTTTCTCCAACAAGGCCTACTTCCTAATAGTGCCACTCTCTTTGGGGGCATTTTCTTTCAAACCACCACACAAACTGTTAGTAAATATTTATTAGAAAACATTCTCCCAAATCTTGTAAGCTGACAGCCTATCCTTTCTCATATACCATAGGATTGAAGAATATTAGTCTTTTTATTACATAAAAAGGACATTTTTCTTCATTTTTGAGACAATATCTTGCTCTATATCCAAGGATGTCCTCAAATATCCAATTCTCTTGTTTCAACATCCTGAGTGATGGGATAGTAGGCTTATGATACAATGTTCAGGATTGTATAAACTTTTTATTGAT